CAGAGAGAGAGAGAGAGAGAGAGAGAGAGAGAGAGAGAGAGGGAGGGAGGGAGAGAGAGATAATAGCCATGGAAAATACAAACTGTACTAAGAAAAATAAAAGTAATAAAATCCCCGTTGAAAGACAGGCCCCTCGCCATCACTGCAGCTCAAAATATAAATCTCTGAGCGAGTGTCTCATCCCAATGAATGAGGTTTTAGTTTTAGTAAGAGTATTACGGCACTTGCAACACAATAAGGTCATATAAGTTCCTAAGATTAGAGGTTTTACCAGAGAGTAACAAACACAAAAAAGAAGGATGAGAGATAAAGACGTTAGATGTTTGAAAAGAGAGAAGAAGCAAGCACACCAGAGCACCCGCCAACCACCCACATGAATGAGACTGCAAAAATTCAAGAGGGAAAAGCGAATTGGAATTGACTAGAACACAATTTCATTCACAGACACAAGATATACAAGCGTCAAAAAGACCTTAAAGCAAATTAGATGGTCACTCTCCAGACGTAAACGCATGCGTCCAAGCATTGAAACATCCCCAACCAGTCGCGTCGTGACGTAGAAATAAACTGGATGAAGATAACAGTGTGGTTGGCATTCGCAATGTCACCAAGACCGTCAAGAAAAATGAAACTAAAATAGCAAAGGAAACAGCCAAAACTCCAGTAAAAATGTGACACGAACAGAAGAACAGAACAAGAGAACAAGCAAATGGCATCAACCACTTACAGTGCCCAATAGGACAAAGTAATTTGTAAAGATAGTGTTCGAAATTCTTACAAAGCGATGTGGTAAAACGGACGTTAAAAACAGTTTCTGTAACTTGTAACAACGGGATAATTTAAAACAAAACACGAGAAGCGCTCATCAAACCGAACTGAGAAATCAAATAAATCTGAATTCACACGGGTAAAGCCCGATTCAGACAAGGCGAACAGTAAAGATATGTTGCTGTAACCGAATAAATTGCTATTCAGGAAGTGAGGCTGTGTTCAAGCTCACAGCTTTATTTGCATAATGATTTCCCGATTAATGCACACGTATATTATGTACGCTGTTTTATAAGCTTAAAAGTACATGCGGCCGTCCCACCCCCGATCCCTCTCGCAATCTGCGCCCCCTTCCTAGAAAAATCATATTTTTTTCAACAGAATCAAACAAACAAACAAACAAAAAGAACAAAAAACCAAAAACCAAATCAGAAACAAAATATAAAATACCATAAAACAAAGCAAATAAACAGTCTTTACACTTCTTGACAAATTCCATAGGGACGGACGGTCCTGATTACTCTAAAGAAAATGTCCACGATGGACGGTCATAAAAAAGAACCTCTGCACTTTGTGATCAAAGTTTGATCAATATTTCAAAACTTTTTCTGAGAAAAACCAGACTAAAAGACACTTTTAAAAAATTGCGAACTATTATTGGTTTAAATAGGTTCAATGCCCATTTCAACACTGTACAGTACAAAAAAATCAACAACAACAAATACAACTACAAAAAACTCCCCTCAATAACAGTAACAATAAAATAAAACTATGCCAATTTTCAAGAGTTTTGAAGGAAAAAAAAGGAAACAAAACATCCCCCCTCCTAAATCGGGGGGGGGGGGGGGGGGGAGAGAAAAAGAAACCACGCCAAAAAACAAAACAACAACGACAACAAACAAACAAACAAACAAACAGGCAAAATAAAAATAATAAAACCACTTGTATCGTTCAACGGAACGAACTCACGATCACCATCCCAACACTCTACCTTCGGAATAGCAATGGTCATCTGAGAAAGCGCGCTCGCCGACACCGGAGGAGGAAGAAGGATATTTTGTGTCTGGGGGCAAACACGGAGCCGATGTCGTGCGCCCCCTGTGATGGGTCACCGTGACAGCGACAGGGTCGTGGAAATGTGTCTTGGGGCGCGCGCCACCGTGAGTGGTCCACGATACAGACCCAGTCAAAGTGTCGATCTTGACCTCTTCTGATGGCGTGGCGTGGCGTGGGAGGGTCACGTGAGATGATGGTACAAAGAACACAAAGACAAGACACAATGGCATTACTTTCTGGAGTTCTTCACTTTGACTGGGCGGTTCATGAAAGATAACAAGAATCGGACAGATAATTATGGTTGTGTTACTTTCTAGAGTTCTTCTTTTCGATTGGGCGGGTCATGAAAGACGAAAAGGAACGGAAAGACTTGGTCATGTTACTTTTTTTAAAACACGAATTCTCCACTTTTTAAAGGTTTTAGTACGAGATTTACGCACTTGCAAAATAATTAGGTCATAAAAGTGCCGAAGATAAGAGGTGTTAAAAGAGAGTTTTAGCAAACAAAAAAAGGAAAAAGGAGAGACAAGGACAATAGGTGTTTGATAGGAAAGAAGGAGAAAATTACATCAGCGCACCCGTTAACTACCCACTTCTTCCCTTCAGTTTGTCAGTCAAGATAAGAGATTTTCCGCCTCAAACTAACAATACAAAGCTGGCTTTTCAACATGTCCTGACTGTGACCTCTGAAGACCAGACATGGGTACGCTGAAATAACGTTTTGCTTGCATTTCTAGAAGCGTCCGTGAAAAACAATACAAAGGACACTAAGAGGTCATACAGAGATCCACAATTAAGGTATGGTATACTGAGAAAGAAATGCCCCCCCCCCCCCATTTTTTCCCTCACCTCAGCCCACAAACACTTCCATTAAATAAGGTCAATTAGATTAATTAATAATCGGTTTGTCCTATATATAAACCAGTAGCACAGTGCCAAAAGCAGTTTAAACCTAAACAACTATGCAATCATTTCTTTTCAGGTCACTAGAGCTTACTGAAATCTTTGAAAGCATTCAAGTTTTTAAAAGACCTGTAAAACAACAGGCAGACAAAGTTGTCAGGAAAGAACGCGTTCGTATGTATGTAATTTCCAAAGTGCAGAGCATGCAACAGTGATTTAGAAGGAAATTTTTGTAAGGAAAAATAAATAGAAATCCAAACACGAACCCCAACAATGAAAATCCAAATCCAGAATTCTACAGGCCTTCCCATATACACAAATAAATTCACTGGAACAAAAATCTTGAGAAATGGCAAAAAAAAATTATGGAAACCAACACCGCTCCGTGCACGATCTCGGAAAAATGTGGATAAGAACTTGAAACTGTTTGGAGCCAGGCTCAGGGTACCTTTGTTTTTGTCTGACCGAAAGAACAGACTGAGCCTTGAGGTGGACGGACTTCGTCTGGCCTTCGGGGAGGGGGCGGGGCTGGGGGGTACGGGGCGGGATTGGGAGCGGGTCACATTGGGGTCTACAGACGAAGAGCCATTTAGGGCGTGGTCACTAGAAGTTCTAGGTGCCTGGGAGGAGTCTGTGGCGAAACTTTCCGGCACTGTTGATTTGGGGCGGCGCCGAAAGAAGGAAGGGGATGGCAAACGCCGCGACTTGCGTTCGGCGGCAGGGGACGGTTGGGGGGTATTCTGGCTGGGTGTGGTGCAGGGAGGGGTGGCCGGGGGAGTGGACAAAGGGGTGAGGTCAGAGGGGGTAGCCGAGAGTCCAGGGTCGGCGCTGCCGGAGGGGGGAACGAGCAGCGTGTCGACGGAGGAGTCCTGGGTGGACGGCAAGGACGCTACATTTTCCAAGCTGCCCGAGGCCCCCGAGACGGGCGGCTCTGTCGTGACTATGGTGGGCGGCGTCCCTGAAATGAAGAACCTGGATAGCTCCATGTCCACGGCCCTGGGTCTAGCTCGTGTCAATAAACTTTGACCAGAGTCAGAACCGACCTTTTATGGCACTCACAACATTATCTGACTTGCGTTTTTATTTGTGCTTTTTGCACAAGCAAATCGCCCAACTATGAATCGAAAGCCATTGCCTCTAAGTCAGAGCACTCGGCTTGCAGCAGGACAGTAGAAAAACCGTAAATAGAAAAAGGGGACACAAAAAAACCCAATAACAAACAATGACATTTCTTAACAGAGATTCTCTGCTCGCAAATCCATTACAATACTACACAAAAAAACAATCTCCAAATCGATCTAGTTCGGACGTGTATACCATTCAAGTTAACCGGAAAATAAAACCCAATGATACTATTGGCATTATCAAGCTAGGCCAGGAAGCGGAGTAGGATGATAGCAATGAACAGAAAGATTACATACAGAAAGCCTAAATTAGACCCTGGTGAGTCTCGAAGAACCAGCCACATGTTATATGACTGGCCAGTCGCTACGGATAAAGCACATAATATTATGCTACAGAAAGGACGAGCCTAAAAAAACCCAACATATTGACCGGCCTCTGGGGACAAAAACATACAACTGCACATAGGATTAGCCTCAAACAACACAAACATACGGCCAGCTTCTCAGATGTACTAAGCCCAACGTTTTGGAGAAAATATTATTGCAATTTTTAAATCTGTGGTCTCGGTTGCATGTGTTCAAGAAATATTTTACCAAATTTCAAAATCTAAATGTTGAAAAAAGCAAGAAAAGACACATAATGTACACATAATTGTTGGGCTGGGTTTTTTTTTTAAATCCAAGATTTTTTTATTCTTTCCTGAGACATGTTGCTGTCTGGATTTAGAACATTTGAACAGCTCGCCAACGATACGACAGATAACAGACCAGCCTGTCGGGAAACAACACAGGTTACGCAAAACAACCGATCAGTACCAATGTTACTACACAACTGACTGGCCTCAAACTTAAAAAAGAAATGTTGGGTATTCGACCAGCCTCTCAGAGAACGACACACAACACAGCACAGCCACTGACCAGCCTCGGAGTACTTGAGTTTGTGCTCCTTGTCCTCCTCCAGCTCCTCCACACTCCCGGCCTGTGACGGAGGCCACGCCCCTACAGACTGGGGGGCGGAGCTCTCGCTCGGAGTGGGCGGAGCTTGCGAGTGCTCCGGCGATGCCCATCTGTACTGGTTCTGGGCCTGAAAGGAGAACATATCGAGGGTAATGAGTACAGGTGTTAACATATCAAATTGAAGCACATCTTGTTTGATTATTATGTCCCAACCAACAAAGCAGATAGGTAAGTAAACTATTAATTAATAATAAGAGCTATTATGGTAAAAAAAAAAATTAAAAATTCCTAACAACCTAAGACCTGAAACAGATTTTATCCTCCTAGAGATGGACTATTTCGCACCTTACGTAATCATGAGCTCACGCCATTTGGTTAACAGAGGAAACCGAAGCGCCAGATGGTTTATACAGTGTTCTGAAAACATAGTCGCCTTCCTTTGAGCACGATACTAAATGGAGCGAGTCAAAGTTTTCGCTTTCGTTTTATTGAGATTTTTTACGGCCCTTGCTTCACAATTAGGTCATATAGGTGCAGGAGTCAAAAGCCTTCCACTTTTAACGAACTCGGGTATCTTGCGTGCCACAGCGAAGCATCTAACCACTACATCACAGACGTCAGTCTTCATATCTATAATAGATTAACCACCCCAAGACCAACAATTGTTTTCCGACGCAAGACTAACGATTGTTTTCCGCATTTCTTTTTTTTTTTAAAAGACAGCAACAGCAACAACAAAACAACAACAACAAAAACATAGACTCGCCAGCAGGACATGCTTTTCTAATTACATTTTCATGTGCCCTCAGTCTCTCGTTAACTCTATCCGTTTTTGGTCACAAGAACCCTTTTCTTTCACATGACCCTATTTCACTTAAACATGCGTAACATCTCTAATTCACCAGTGAGCATTTAATGTACGTATCATCTGCACCCATCCTTCCCCCAAATAAACTCTGTTTATTAAAATGTATCTATTTTATTTATTCATTTATTTATTTATTCATTTCTTCCTTTTTTTCTTTCTTTATATATTTATTTATTCCTTTCTTTCTT